GGTCTGGAGGTACCTAAGTGAAACCCCTTAGATACTCTTAGTCAGGTGTCATGTTGGTCAGTCAGGATAATATTATGAGGCTGTATCAGATGTAGAGACAGAATTACAAGTATGTGCCTAAAACTCCTTCTGCTCTTAAACACCAGTGGTACAAGGCATTTATCTGTTCTTTCTACAAAGGGCTCTGACTCCCCCTATAGAAGGTAGTCAGGCATAGGAATTACACACATTTCAGATTCAGCTGGGTGGGGCTGGTTATTTAAATCAGGTGAGATGAGGCTGGGACCCAAAACAAGTCCTATTCACTGGCCCTGGACAGGAGCTGTGGACTGACTTGCAATTACTTCTGCCACCTCTTGTCTCCCTTTCCTTCAACTGTTCCCTCAACACCAGCCATCTTTCAGGAATCTACCCATTTCTTTTCTTTTTAAAAACAAATTTTTTGTGGTGGGGGTGGGGGAGGGGGAAAAATGAACATTCATTATATTCTGTGTCCTTGGTATGGTGGTAGGTAGGGGTTTTTTTGTTTGTTTTTGCTTTTGCATTTTTGTTGTAATAAAAGACATTTAATATAAAATTTACCACCCTAACTATTTTTAAGTCTACAGTTGAGTGATATTAAACACATTCACTTTGTTGTGCAGTCATCACTGCCATCCATCCCCATAACTCTTTTTATCTTGTAAAGCAAACTCTACACCTATTAAACAATAACTCCCCATTCTCCCCTTCCCCATCTCTGGCAATCACCAGTAGACTTTTTGTGTTTATAATTTTTTACTATTCTAAGTACCTCATATAAATGGAATCATACAGTATTTTCCTTTTTGTGATTGGTTTATTTAACTTGGTGTAATGCCCTTGAATTCCTCCATGTTGTATTGTATGGCATAATTTCCTTCCTTTTTAAGACTAAATAATATTCCATTGTATCTATATACAACAATTACTTATCCATTCATCCATCAATGTACACTGGGCTTGCTTCCACATTTTAGTTATTATGAATAATGCTGCTATGAACATGGATGTACAGATATCTCTTTGAGACCCTGTTTTATATTCTTTGGGGCATATACTCAGAAGTGGACAAACTGATAGTTACCAGAGAGGAGGGGTGTGGGAGGACGGGTAAAAAAGGTGAAGGGGAATAAGAGGTACAAACTTTCAGTTATAAAAGAAATAAGTCACAGGGATGTAATGTATAGCACAGGGAATATAATCAATAATGTCATAATAACTGAGTATGGTGACATAGTTACTAGAGATATTGTGGTGATCATATCATTAGGTATATAAATGTAGAATCACAATTTTGTATACTTGAAACTAATATAATATTGTATACAATTATACTTTAATAAAAAAATAGAATTACCATATGAGTTACCTACTTATTTCTTAACATTTTTACTCTACCAATGACTGTGAATGCCTTTGATAGTGGTCAATTTCCTTTTCCCTTGCTGACTGGTTGCTTGACTACAGTGTAGTGTGAATTAGTTTTAGCCTTGGTCTTACATAAAGCAGACACTGTTTTTTCTTTTTCTATTATTAGTTTCAGGTGTACAAAACAATGTAATAGTTATACATTTCATTCCTCACAAAATGATAACTCCCCTCCACCAATCTATTGCCCCTCTGATGTTGTATATATCTATTACAATTCCATTGACTCTATTCCCTATACTGTATTCCATATCCCGTGACTATATATATATATATATATATATATAAAATTATAGTTGACATTCAATATTATTCAGCTTTAGCTTCAGGAGTACAGTGCAGTGGTCAGGCATCTACACTGTCCATGAAGTGGTCTCCCTAAGAAGACATGTCAAGCAGACATTTTTATTCTAAGCCTTTTATCTCTGACTTTGAAGTGCAAGCCTTGTTCTCTGTTAAAGGGATTCAGTCATTCTGGAGCAGATGGGAGATGGTTTGGGGGATATGGATGAAATTACACCATCCATAAAGCCAACCTTGAAAGGCAAACCCAATTTAGGTATTTCAGACAGGTGGGTAAGGTAACACGAGGAAACTGTCTGGAGGTATGCTCCTCTATCTTTCCTCTTTTCCCCCTGACAGGGTTCTTGCGAAGGGGCAGCTAGGAGAGGGTCTGGCTATTACACTGGACATCTATTCTTAAAGGGCTTAGCATTTCAGGAAATCTCTATGTTGTATTCATACTATAGCCAGCCTTTTTATAGCTTTCATATTGTTTCTTGCTCTGAAAATACAGATACTGACCTCTCTTTCTCCTCCTCTCCCCAAAAAAGTCTAAAGCACACTATAGGCCATGAATAAATGCCATCCCTGAAGGCACTTTTGGTTAAAAGATTTCTCTTTAGAGGATTAAAATAACATTACAGTGAAGTTGATGATAGCTGAAAAATCTTGTGGATGTTGAGCTTTCCAAAACAATGCTCATACTTCATAAAGTTTTCTTGTCTTTTGGTTGGGGCCTTTTTTTCTTTTTGAAATAAAGATCTGGCCTTGTTATGTTCTAGACACCAAAATGGAGCGTCTTGGTGGGTGTCTTCTCTGGGGGACAAATGGAACACCTGGTACTTGGACATATATCTTAGTGAGTACTTGAAAGCCTGGGTCCCAAAGGAGGTGCCTAGTGTCCTGGCAGATACAACATTCAGTGTGTCCAGCTGACATGGTTCAATGAGGTGCTTTTGGACCAAATTACCAACTGGCTACAGCATGTCTCAGGGCAACCGCCCTGTACCTACTGAGGTTCAAAGAACCTTGTTGAGGTGTGGGTTTGCTCCAGAAGACCCATAGCCAACACAGATGTATTCTAAATCTACTAGGAGATAGAAAGTATCAGGGAATCTCACTGAGACAGTTGGTGTTAGACTACCAGAGACCTGAGCAATAACCATATTTGTAAGATAGGTAGAAGTTTTGAGGGCAGTATCGAAGCACAGCAGAATATTTACAAACAAGGACTCTGACATTAGATTGCCCAAGTTTAATTTCTAACACAACCACTCCCTAGCATGGTGACTTTGGGAAGTTAGTCTCTTTCAACTTCAATTCCTCATCTGTAAAATGTAGATAATAAAATGGAAATAGTAATACTGAACTCAAAGTGTTGATAAGAGTCTCAAATCATAAAATAAGTGGAAAGCACCAATTTAGTGTTAACTTTCAATATATGTTAGCTATTCTTTTTGGGTCTGTTGGGCACTTCCATGTTGGGCACTTCCATGTAATACTGAACTCAAAGTGTTGATAAGCGTCTCAAATCATATAATAAGTGTAAAGCACCAATTTAGTGTTAACTTTCAATATATGTTAGCTATTCTTTTTGGGTCTGTTGGGCACTTCCATGTTCTCAGGTGACACAGATATTTTTGTATTATTTATTTATTTATTGCTATTCCTCCATTCAGTGATTACATAGGGTCAGAATTTTGTAATTGGAAAGGATTTTAGAATTATATAACTCTATCTTTTTACTTATCAAATAAAGGGAATGAATACTGGAGAGGTTGAATAATTTACACTAAACCATTGCTTCTTAAGGTTTGAGAACCTCTGTAACTATTACCAATGAGGATAATAAGTAATTGTAGCAAGGTATGTTTAAACTGGTTTCAAATACTTTAAAAAAATTTTATTGGGGGAGGGGAACAGCGTTGGGGGAATCGGGAAGGGGAACAGACAAGTTGCTAATTTTTTGTTCTTCAGTCTAGTTGTGGAGGATGTCACTTCACTGGCCCATGTTGGTATTATCATTGCGCTCTTTCCAGGTGAGGCAATTGGCGCCAGCCTCTGGATGGCCGCAAATGGCAGCTCACAGCAGCTCACACCGGCTGCCAGCTGCTCACGCTTGTTGCCAGCCACTCACGGTAGCTCATGGCAGCCCACTGCAGCAGGGGCTTCAGCCTACACCGTCACCGGTGACTCACGGCAGCCCAGCTCCAGGTCGAGCTGTTGTTCACCATCTTAGCTGTAGAGGTCAGTGTCACTGGCCCTCATGTGGGATCCGAACCGGGGCCCTGCTGCTTAGAGCTGGTGTCCAAGCCAACTCTTAACCAATGCGCCACTCGGCCGGCCTCAAATGCTTTTATTTTCATTATAAGTCACTTGGTCCTCTCAACATTCCTGTAAAATATGCAGAATGGGTGTCTTTATTTATTTATTTATTTTTTTGCTGATGTTGAAAGGAAGTCCCCCTTTGGTAACTTTCTAGGTCATAAAGCTTCTTCTTGGCTGGACCAATGTTAGAAATCAAATCTCTGAGTTTGGGCTCCTAAACTAAAAAAATGTTTTCATGACATCTTAAGTCCTCATTCATCTCAGATCCCTGGGGTTCCAGACATGTTTGTAGAGTTTATAGGAAACTAGGATTGAAAGGGACATTAAAAATTCTCTAGTTAGCTTCCTCGCTGAAGCCCACAGCGATGATATGACTTAACCAAGCTGGAAACTCCCTTCTTGTGCTATTTATAAAAGTGGAGAAGGAGGAAGTATCAGTATGAAGAAAATCTGGTTTGGATCCCATGCTAGGGGGGTTTATTACTAGAGATTCTAGAAGGAGAATAATTGGAAGAGTCAGGGAATTGTGAGATTTGCAGACCTTTAGGGCCCATACCTCCTTGCAGGATTTGTGTGTTAGTTTTGTGAGATTTTTTTTTTCACCCATGAACATTTTTGACCAATGGCTATTATTAGGAAAATCATATTTGGTTTATTCTTTGGACTGAGGGTGCCTTATGTTTAAGACATGTGATTCTCTGACACTGGGGAGCTGGAGTTGGGAATGTGGAGAGGGTGTCTGGGCATTGCAGAGGGGCAGAAACAGGAAGCCTCTAGCACAGTTCTTTAGTGCAAAACGGAAGCAGAGAATTAAGGCAGATGTTTGAGTTAAGAATAAAGATGGTATATATGGCTGGAGTGATCCTTCTGCCCTATTCATTAGGAACCTCAATATGGGGGGCAGAGGAAAGTGAGGAAACTCAATAATGGTTTATCGTTTACACAGCATGGTGGATAAATTAACCGCACAGATTTATTGAATTCAGTGAATGAAATGGGCCTCTCTCCAGCACGCTCAAGGCAATTACAATTGTATCCACTGTGAGTCCCAATAGCATAATGCTAAAATCCATCAAGCCGGTGCTGTCATGCGAGTGCGTATTCAAATGTCCCTTTATCAAACTCTTCAACTTCGTCTTCCCATGTAGAGGAAGGCATGCTACTATACGGGTCTAACAGAATTTTGAAGCATCTGATAATAAGAAGTCCCAAGAAAATACACAAAATCCCAACAAAAGCAAAGCCGGTTTTTTGCTCCAGAGTCAATGAGAAAGCCGATACTTCGTTGACACTCATCTTAGCTGAAGAGTTGCCACAGTAGGTACTACTCATTATTCACTGTCACATCATGGTGGCTCTTCAGAATTCCAGCTGGAGTCACCTCTTGGCCTAGATACAAAATTGGAATCAGTTTAATTTTATCCATGTGTGGTATTGGTCAGGTACTTGTTTTTATAAAATCTGGCATTTTTCAAACCTTCTTGACTTAACTCACAAAAGATGTTTGAAAACATCAGATATGAATCTGATACTAAATTAGCATTGTAGTAATTACTGAATTGCCTTTGCGAACATGAAACAGTACCTACATAATACTAAACATAAAATCACACATGAAGGTAAATATTCAAATAATTGACCCTGAAAGCTTTTAATTAAAAGCATTACAAGGTAGTTAAGTCACTGCTTTTTTGACCCAAATTGTGATCTAATTTTTCGTTGTGTAGATAACATCATAAATAATCACAGGGTGTGAGCTGGTCAAATTCTCTAAGTCCATGTTTCAAGCTCCATCTCCGTTGCCATTTTGTCTGATACAAATTCTGATCCATTTAATGTCTTCTCTCTTTTTTGCCCCTTAATTTTTAGACTTATATCCTTATATTTTCTTTTCTCCTACTACCCCATACACTAAATGTTGATTTCTTAAAAAGAGAAACTGTGTTTTTAAAATTGTGTTTGTAAGTGCTATACCCAATATAGCAGCTTGCAAGTAACAAGCCACAGTAGCTGTGGACCATTAGCCATCTCTCCGTCATCTCCATCAGCTTTCGGAACACCATAAATAAACATAAAATCTAAGTTAAACAGTGTGTCTCCTATGAAAATTCAGCTTCAAAGCAAGCTCCTCAGTCCCCTTCCAGTCAGATTTCCTCTCCTAAACTCCTACTATACTAAGATTCTAAAACTAGAACAAAAGTGTTGGAAAAGTGTGTGTTGAAGCTAAGAAAAAAAAAATTACATTTGATGCCTTAATGTTAATTAAAATGAAAATTAGTTAATTAAATCACTGGTTACTAACCCATATCCACCCTTGTTGAGAGAGCTGTCACCAAATATCTCATCATCCAATAACTGAGAATGATAGATTGTTAGTGTTTTCATTTTTGTTTGTTGACATTTTGTTTCATTGAGGATTTTTTTGTGTGTGTTTGGTTATTGTTTCTTCTGATAATTTTTAGGAACTATATTTATTAAAATGACTGGCCCTTCAGATTTTTTTTTTTTGGATGGGAGGTAAGGAGTAGAGAAAGGGAGCAATTAATAAGAGCAAGACTGATAGCATTCAGAATTATTTACCAACTAACACACCAGTTAATATCAAACAATATTTTATTTTATAGTGGTTTGGACTACAAAGGAGCTTTATCTTCAAACCTTAAGTGTTATAAATATTCAGCACATTATGGGATATGCTGGTTATTTCACTTTTTTATTTAATAAAAGGAAAAAATAGTTTCAAACCCCTGTGTTGAGTTTCTTTTCACAAAATCATTTTTTCTGCCCTAACAAATATGCCATAGTAAATATACTTTTTTTTTTTAATTTAGGATCACTTAAGTGCCTCCGAGTGATTTTTCTGAAGATTGAGTTCTTGTTGTACAGTTTATCCTATAGAAGGCATAGGAGACTGGACTGAATAGCTCATGACCTTGGGACTTAACTAGAACATTTTTAAAATTAAATTTCTAATTTTATTGCTTTTGTCAATTGAAGGTCTTTTGTTGAGATCCATGCATTCTGTGGTTCCTTTGTTTAATGGGTGGAGAGACTAAAAAGCATGATGTTTCTACTTGGAGATGCTAGACAGAACATTTGCCAGGTGACTGCCTGATTCAGCCAAATAACATGTTTGAATTATTATTATTTTTTTACTAGAACCATGACCTTGCTAGGCTATACCATTAGAATATTTCAGGGGATATGTAGGTAAGAGGAAGCAATAAAAGTGGTTTACTGGTGGACACTGGTGTGCCCAGCAGACTCCCTTCAATGAAGGACTTGCTGCCCAGCAGCTGGGAGTGCTGTCAGAAGATAGTCTTCAACTGTTAGCCCCTTTCACAGATTGCCTGGATAGCAAAGAGCTGCCTCACCGAGGTCAGGCCATTTCCTAGAGCAGACCATTTTCAATGACTGATGGATATGAGAGTAAAAATCCCTGGCTATCTTGACTCAAAGGGAGACAACTCTGAAGGACCCTTCTATCTCTAGAGTTCTACATGGTGTAAACCAAGGCTGTTATTGGTTTCAAATCAACAGCTAAGCTTCTGCCTACTCCTGCTAAATTCCCCACTTGTCCACAGAGGTTGAGCTCAAGGGCACTGCTTATTAAACATCCTGCACACTAAACTCTGTCTCAGAGTCTGGTTAAATGAGGGCCCCCAACCTGCAACAATTGGTATCACAGAAGTTAAAACATCTGGGCAGCTTAAATGATCTGTACATTTTAAAGCTTGTTCATTTTGCCATCATGTGGAAATAGCCTAAATTGAATATAGTTAAGATATTAGCTAAATTTATTTATGTGTTTTTAAAGTCATAATGTAAGCAAAGACACAGGGTGATAGCTGGTCATTAGAAGAGTTAAATCTTGTTAAATTGGGTATTAGCCAGTTGTTAATCCACTAGATTCTGTTATTCTTATTATAATCCACCAACCAACCAAATACACAAAAAAGCTATAAAGCTATAGCAATAAAACACTCATTTGTCACTATTAAATCAAAACAAGGTGGGCCGGCCGAGTGGCTCAGTTGGTTAAGAGCTCGCTCAAGAGTTTGAGCTCTGAGCAACAGCAGTTCAATGCCCAGCCCGAGCTGAGCAGCTGCTAAGCTGCCAATAGGTAGCAGGATGGCTCAGCTAAAAAAATAATAATAATAAATAAATAAATAAAAACAAGGTACCTTCCTAGCTAGAAATACAAAATCCTTTATATTTTATATTACAATTTGTTTAAGTTGTACCAGAGAATGCTTTGTCCTTAGAGTCTTAGACAATCTGTGGATAGAGTTACTTATCATTTTTAATGGAAAAATAACTATTTCTTAATAGTGGCCACAATTCCTGGCATAATGAAGGTATTCAGTAAATATGTGAATTGAATTAAACTAAATTTATTGAAGAATATAATTTTGATGAATAAAGTTCTGGCTTTAAAAAGCCTAAGTTTTAAACATCCAGAATATAAAAACACATTTTTTTAAATACAGTGAACAAGAAAACTTTTATTCAATTTCAAAAAAGTTGGCCTTGAAGATAAATATCAAAATTCATCACCTCATTCAAAGTTCAGTGTTCCTTTTTTTTTTAAAATCAGATTGATTAATACAATCTTCCCTGAAGGTCTCACATGATTTGTAGTATTCAAAAGTAGAGAAATAGATCTTTCCTAAAAACTTTTGTGAGTTGGCTTTTATGGTCTAAGGAAAGATATGTAGCCAGCATGATATTTTGGTGTTGACTACCAGGAAGTACAGAGTTAAAATTTGTATTCGGTTGTAGTGACTTTGGTTAGCTTAAGATTTCTGGTATAATTATTCCTTCTTTCTCCACCCCTGTCCTCTTTATTACTTGAGTACTGCAGTTACACTTACCTGAGAAGGGTAAGATATTTCAAAGATACTTAACTAAGATACTTCAAAGGATTTTGGAATCAGGCAGGTGTACAAACAATGAATAGATGTACAGAGCCACTGTTAGTAAATCATTAAAATCAGCATTTTTTAATTCTATCTTGGGGGAATAAATAAATGGTTGTTTCATGGCTTTAAGCATAATTTACAAGGTCTCTTTGGCTGTCTATTGTTGGTACAAATATAGAAGAAATGCAGTGTGACAGAGATTAATGCTGAGAAGTAACCAAAAACTTTAGGGATACTGTCAGGAATTCTAAAGAACTGAATGAGCTTAAGGTAATATATAATAGTGAATATAATAATAATGTTTTAATTTTAATTAATCATTGAACAAATACATACATACATATATATATATATATATATGGAGAGAGAGAGAGAGAGAGAGAGAGAGAGAGAGAGAGAGAGAGAATCTGCTATGTGTCAGCACTGTTCTTGGTGCTAGGGTATAGTGTACTCTAGATAATAATAACTAGATAATAATGTGTACCTTCCATAATGAGTGTTGCATCTTGGTGGTGGAGACACAATTATTTTAAAAATATCTATCTATCTATCTATCTATCTATCTATCTATCTATGTATATTATGTCAGGTAGTCATAAATGCTATGAGAGAAAGCAAAGCAAGTTAAGAGGAAAGAGAATAATGGTGGAAGATGGGAACTCTTTAATTAAGAAGTCAGCAAAGGCCTCCCTAGTGAGACAACATTTAACCTGAAACTTGAATGATGTCAAGAAGGGAGCCATGACAATATCTGGAGGAAGAGCATTGACATTTGAGAAAATAGCCATTGCAAAGGCTTTGAGGTGGGAGGATTTCATATAAAATATGTTCAGATCAAGAAATTGACTAATGAATGATTAAAGTCCCTACTTATACAAGATGGTTTAATGGTATCAGACGACAAAGAAAAGGCAGAACTACTTAATCTACTTCTGTATTTTTAACCAATGTGGAATGGTCCTTAGAAGTGACCAAAATATCAAACAATAAAAGAAGACAAGAATGTAATCGAATATTGTTTAGTCACAGATGAGTTAAAACTCTCAGGATAAGATGATTTATAACTTGCATCTGCAAAAACCTTTCAAAACCTTTGAGAAATGCTTGACCCTGAGAGTGCTGCCAAAAGTATGGACGTGGAAAAATGTCTCATTTTCACAAAAAGTGATGAAAGTTGTATATTGGTAACTTGGAATTAATCTTTGTTACAAGTCCATAATTAATTATTTAACAGTTAGTTTGCAGCATTTAAGAATTCACTAAAGTTAACATCAGTTTAATAACTTGTAATGCCAAATTTACTTTCTTTTTTGAAAATTTACTACTAGCATGGGGAATCAGGGCAATAGCAAGGACGTGGTTGAGTGATTTCAGCAATGCATTTAGCAGTCTCCCATGATATGCTTTTGGGAAAGATGGTGAGATATGCCTGGATAATAGTATTTTTATGTAGATTTACAGTTCTCGAAAGTGCCCTAATAAATATTGGTTTCTGTAATCAGAGACAGCACCCCATTTTAGTTCCACAAAGGTCTAATTCTATCTACATCCTCTTTAGGCTGAAGAAAGACATTGAAGTTACAATTACTAAATTTGGCACAAAGCTTGGCTGAAAACTCACAGAGTCAAGATTCAAGACAATTCTGATGACTAGAACTCTGGATTGAAACCAGAACATAAAATTTAATAGAAACCCTTTTAAAGTTCTGTATTTAAATGGGATGGAGTGAGGTGCACCAACCCCAGATTGAGGAGACTTTACTTGGAAGTTCATGTGAAATTGTGAAATATCAAAGTTGGAATTAATCAAAAGTCAATATGAGCCAAAGATATGAGGTATTTACTTCAAAAAGCAAATGCTGTCCTAGATTAAATGGGGTGCAAATGATAGAAAGTAATAACATTATTATTATTCATTGGTCAGTTTATATGGAAAGTAATACTATTCACTATACTTTGATGCAAAAATATTTATTGAGTTGCTATTATGTTCTAATAGACAGGGAGGGACCTCTCTATTCAAAGAGGTTATAGCTTATAAGGGAGATAATCCATGTACAAACAAGAGTAAAAAAGTGTAGGCTTCTACAAAGCCTTCTACAAGAGGAAGCAAGTCTGTATTTAACACATGCTGTGTACCAAACACTGCTTTATATATTATTTTATTTAATCTCTATAACAAAAATACAGGATTCATATTATCTTCAACATCTTGAGAAAAAATAGATTCAAAGAGGATAAACAAATTTAGAGAATAGATATTTCACCCTTTTAGGGATCAAGAAAGTCTCTCTCTTTTTTTTTTTTTTTTGGTAAGAGATTGTATTTGAGCTGAGTCTTGAAACACAGAGAATTTAGGTATATAGAGAAGCAAACAGCATGACATTAACTATGAAGGTAGAACAGTGCTGGATTTGTTCAGAGGATAGTGAGCAATTTGGCCCAAGCAAAGGAGAGTATAGGAAACAAAACATTGGAAAGGTAGGTTACAGCCAAAATGTGTAATATTCTGACTGTCAGGCTGAGTTTGAAATTTATTTGCTTAAAAGCCGAGTGGTTAATGATGAGACTGAAGCAGACACAGATTTCAGGGAGGGAACATCGTGGAAAAGAAATGGTCCAAGTGAGAAGCAGTGAGGGCCTGGACTAGGAGGTAAATGTGTGGAAGAGATTGGAATGGGTCTGAAAGGTATTCATAAAGATGTGAGAGCTGGGATTTGATGACTGGTGGAATGTAGTGGGCCACGGAGAGAGAGGTATCAAAGATGACACCATGCTATTTAGCCTGGACAAGTGTAATAACAGTGCTTTCATTAACCAAAATAAAGAAAGTACAAGCGAAGTGTAAATTTAGAAAGTAAATGAGGAGGTTTTTTTCTTGACTTAGTGAATTAGTGGTGCTCATACCTGGCACATAGTATATACTTTAACAGGCAGTCTTAAATAAATTAACCCAGATCATTGTGTCCCGCATAAATAGCCAGTGAGGAGAATACTTGAAGGGCATTATTGTCAAATAAAGTTTGTATGGAAGAATGCATCCAAGATGGAGAGAATTCAATACATCAAAACTTCACAGATCAAAATTTAAGAGATGGAAAGAACGGCTGAGATTCACCTAGGAAAGGGAAAACCAAGGAAGACAATATCTGTATTCAAATATTTGAAGTGTTGTCCTGTAGGAAGCCTGATCTACTTCTGGTTTGATTCAAAAGGCAGTTTTGTTGTAATTCCCTTAAGGTTCTATTTGCAGGTGCTTGAAATGATTGAAGATGAAAGAAGCCTCGCAATGAGCCTCATCAAATAGTTCTCTTACAAGGAGAAAATAAAGTCTGATAGTGGAGTTGTATAAGGAGTAATCAGAGACATGAGTAAATCTGTAGTGGGAAGTTTGCCTGGAACAAAGGAGACTGGAGTTTCTAAAAGGTGTGGGTAAACAGTGTCAAATTCTACAGTGGTGATCGGGACTAAGAACTGAAAAACAGCTGTGGGTTTGCCATTCTGAATTTTTTCATCATTTAATAAAATTCAGTTGAGTGTTCAGGAGGAGCACTAAATTGAAGAGTGTTTAGGGATGATAGCTAAAGAGAAAATGGAGTCAGGTGGTAAAGCAAACTTGACAGAAAAGTTTTATCTGCATAAAAGTTAAAAGTGTGGAAGTTTAGATCATTAGACTAATTACTTTCAATAATAAGGGCATGAATATATATTCAGTTTTTTAAAGTAGAGCTGAGTAAATTCACTGGGAGTTCAAAGAACTATGAAATTTCCCTTTTTAAACAAAAAAATTGGGTTGAGAAAGAACAGATATTTTATTAACATCTGAAAAGGGAGAACTTAGACTTTTATATTTATCTTAAAATTCTACCTTACACTAAAAATGAAAACAAAATGCAAGTCAGAAAGAACAACTGAACGGATAATATTCGAAGTTGAAGAAAATCTGGCCACTGCTGCATGCTGTGTCTACACAAGCAAATAAGTAAAAAGTTAAGCAATCGCATAACAATGTATTCAGGAAATAGATGCTCTTGGAAATTTAAGCCATATATGTAGCAGCTTAACTGAAATACCAGTATTTTCAGACCTAAGTTTTCAAAACATTTGCCCAAACTTCCCATTTTACTTGCTCTGTGAAATAAACTTGTCTCATTTCAACACCAAGTCTAAAGCTTTTGAGGATATATTGGTATGTGTGCTGAACTTTGTACCTTTCTATTGATATAGAACATAATATGATATAAAAGTAACATTAATAACAAAATATTGTCAAGAATAAATAGGTCTTCAGTTACAACACTGATTTCTTCATAGTTAATAAGTATCCAAATTACTCAACAACTCTGGACAAAAGGTACATTTTCAGTTTCTCTAATCCCTGGAAGAGATGGAAAAGCAAAAAAAAAAAAATCAGCAGATTCTTTCTGCACAACAAACATTTTAATGCCTACCTCAGAAGGAAAGCATCATCTTAATATGCTGTTTATTGGGAAATAGAAAATGAAAGGAAAATGAGAGAAATTTAGACTGTGAAATTATAAAACCATGAATAAATAGATCCTATGAGAAAAAAATAGTTAAGAAAAAAGAAATACATTTTCCAAAAAAGAGTGGAATGTAAAATTGTGTGGTAAATGTTATTGTAAACATGCTACAGTACCACAAAAAAAGGAGTGGAAGGGGTAAAATGATCAACATTGCACAGTTTAAATATCAGGGTCTATATGTATTATTGTTAAAGTATTTAAGGATATTTTTATAATGCTATTGCAAATGATAAGATATTGCCGTAAGTCCTATTATTGGAATAAATGTTTAGGTACTTTCGAAAAGAGCAATTACATTGAAAGCGCATCATTTCCTTCATGAAAACTAGGATTTCTAAATCCTGACTAGACATAGGATTGGGCCAAAGATATACCTGTAGATACCAAGAGGCCCAAATCTCACTGAGTCGTTTTATAGTTATTAATAAATAAATAAAAATCTATGGTAAGTCTTAAAAATCATGCCATTGTGAATAGTCAAGCAAAGATAACAGTATTTTTATAACTGATAGATAGCTTTTCATAAACATGAATGTTGTGTGTGATGTTTGTGTCTTCTATGAAATAAGTTTATTGACTGGAGGTATAAATATTCACTTTTCAGGAGCATATAACTATTTAATTTATATGCAGCAATGTGCAATTGCAGAACCAATATTGAAAAGTATGTGCTTATTAAAAGAAAAAAGAACCTCTTGTATTTTATTTTAACCAACAGGTTTTTTTTTCCTGTTTATTTATCTATTAATGATATTCCAAATAGCAAATCTGAAATATTATAGTGGAATATGTTCTAGCTGAAAAGTATTTTGATATTGGTCATTAGACATAAAATCTCTAATGCAAACAATATGAATATTAGATATAATAATCTCTAATGCAAATAATATAAACATTTATTATTTCATGAAACAAAACATAAGAAAACCCAAGCTTAAAAAATAATGAATCCTCTTATAGACACACATACACACCCCCACCATATATCAAGGTTATTAAATCTCATAAAAAGTAAAGAGGTAAAAGAAACATTACTGAGGCCACATCTGCACAGAGCTTGTTAATCGTTAGGAACAGAATGTGTTGAAATCAAAGGAAAACCTTAAATTACAAACCCAGATGTCTTCATCACGATGAAGTACATAAATTTCAGGCCTTCCCAGGGGTCTGAAAACTTGAGATCTGCCAGAATCCATCAGCCAACCTTTCAGATTTCAACCTTAAGGGAATTTCCTTCTTAAGACAATCTTTGGATGACTCCTCTGACATTCCTTCCTTTCAAAGCACTGAAAACCTTGTCTGAAAATTCTCAAAATGTCTCACTAGAGAAACCTAGACTGTCATTATCATTCGGCCTGATTTGTCTCCAGCTCTTTTTGGACATATTAAACTGAAGAAGCATGGAAACATCCTACAAAACATTATGGGAGAAGCATCAACAAACTGACCCCACAGCACACAACACATGATTTTTTTTTTCTTTTTCTTTTTCTTTTTGGCGGCAGCAGCCGCAGAAACATTAAGGGCTCTTTCGTTTTCAGAATTTGAACTCACCAGACCTGTAGGCTCCTTCCCCCTACTTCCTTTCCAGCTTCCTAGTTTCAGAAATACAAGAGAATGAGGACATGCCTCTCATCTGTACCTGCACTGGAACCCTGTCCGTTAATGCGGAGGGTAGGGGGAGAAAGTTACTTCGCAGGCAGGGTTGTCTCACCTTCCATGCTTGTTGCCATGGAGATGGAATCCCGAGAGTAGACTTAAGTGTTGGCAGGTTTGTCTGTGGTCGCTGATCGGTTCAATAATAATGTAAAAGGCATGCCCTGGGAACCTGCGTGGAGTCACAGGACCGTGGTTAGCGCTTTCCTGGCCTACGTGTGTGTGTGTGTGTGTGTGTGTGTGTGTGTGTGTGTGTGTGTGTGTGTGTGTGTAAATGTGTCTGTCGGTGAGAGGCAGAGGACGTGGGCGCCAGCGAAGTACGTGTGCGCGCGAGTTGTATCTGCAGGGAAATATGCATGGATTTCTTCGATGTAGCAGTGTGTAAATATTTGTGCGCTCGTGCGTGTGCGCGCGCGCGCGCGCGCGTGTGTGTGTGTGTCTGTGTGGGGGGGTCGTTTGACTGTGTGTGCGTATGAGACAGAAAAGAAATGGGAAATGAGAGGGGAAAGGAATCCGCCACCGCAGCAACAGGCTCTATCTATTCTTTCGATCTGTCAAAAAGAAGGAAAAATAAATAAAAAGACAGGCGCACATTTTCACTCGTATCACACTCTGCAGATTAGCAATTGGAGTTCATCTCCAATATCGCTTCCTCAGGCAGTGGGGGTTTAATTTATTGTTAAAATCTTTGTTTTCCTTTCCTCGCTGCATCAGTAGCTGCGCGGCGAACATTTTGCTGTGCTCGGTGACTTCAGTCTCAGTCGAGGAGTAGCGACTAAATTTTTACATCTTTCTTCTCCGATATGTGAAAGACTGGAGTGAAAGGTTTAACTGAACACTGCATGCGGCATTCGGAGTTATTTACCCCTGCTGCACTTTTTCTCCTCTACGCAAATTCAACCGGATCCCCCGCCTTCAGGATTAGGTGCCTAGGCGCTGTCCGTAGTGCTGAAATATTGCGTAGTAAAATCTACAATAGCTTCCACTTAGGAGCTGTAAGACACCAGGCGAGGGACGCTCTGATAAAGACCGTATGTAGTTGCAAGACACGTTTTCTAAACATTGTTGACTATATAGAATCCGAGCCTAAACAGCATTGAAAGCAAAACAAAGCAAAAACAAAAACAACTAAAATATCTCCCCTCATTCTTACTTAGGGGTCTTGTTCTCCAAACTCATAAGGTTCCAATTCTATTCATGTTTGGATGCTATATCCAGAACCTACAAGTAGCGAACACCTGTAGATTCCCTTAGAGCTTAATTATTGGTCTTATGAATTATTAAATTATCAACAATTGGGGAAAATGTAAACACAAAATTGGGTCATTGTTCCTGTAAAAAATAATGCTGAAAACGCATAATATAACGGTGTGTTATAGTTCAATAATAATAATAATTCATGGTCATTTGGAGTATTTACTAACTTAGAAAATCTCAAAAAGTGGACAATATAGGCAATATGTAACTGGAAGTTCATACAAGACTTTACAAAAAGAAAGTTTTTTTTTCATTTAAAACTAGTTTTCATTTAAAACTAGCTAGCTGCCCACCAAGGAAAAAGTAGAAGTATCTTCTTCCATGATCATAGCCATGGTTTTTTTGACTTTTTAAAATCTCACTAACGTCCATATTCTTTTTTGGTACTAGGTGCTAGAGCAGTGCTTCTTGAAATTTAATGTGCATATGAATGTCATGGAGATCTTGCTAAAATGCACATTCTCATACAGTAAATGTGACGTTGGACCTCAGATTCTGCATTTATAACAGTATCCCAGGTGATGCTAGGGGTCGCTAGTCTCAGAACCACACTTCAATTAGCAAGGTGCAAGAGATATTGTATTCTGGAAATGCAGACATTCAAAGAGTATGGGAAAGGAGGTCATTTTCTTCCATCTATTATTCTATGTACATTTTTACACTATTGCAAGCATATTTTATTCAAATAAGTTCAGGGGTTACTATTTTGTTGCAAAATAGTAACAAACTGTTTATAGATTTTATCATTTTATTTTGATTTTGACATTGTCTGTACACATACTATAATTTACTCCACTCTTTATTTCCATACTATGATCTGCAATCCCCCATTCTCTTTTCAAGCCCAGCTCAAGGAAGCAGGACTAAGTTATGTGATTCTACTGTTGAAGTATGGGCCCTACTCCGAGAATTTATCATGATTGGAGACTTTGACTTGTCATGTTATGTCTTTAAATATGGCTCCATAGTAAATGTTCATGACACTGATTTTAAAATCTGGATGTTACAGGTATAATTCTCACCCTGATTAGAAACCAGGATAGGGCCATTGTTTCACAATCATTTGAGCGAATGCTGATTTGTCATGTCATTGACATAATACACATATATTTTGAAGGTTCCTCTGAACGGTTTTCTGGTGTTTTATAAAACCCATACCTACATCAGTTGATACAGTGCTTTTAGTTAATGATTTTGAATTGATGCCAAAGGGAACTTTTGATTACAAATTAGGTTCCTTGGTGCATAACCTTGACCCTTTTCAAGCCATATGAACAAGGATGATGCTCTGAAAAGTCTGCAAAGTGGCTCATTCAGGAAAGCATAATGGATTAAAAATCCATTATGTTTCACTTTCTTTGCTAGATGCAGGGATACAAAGATAGATGAGATTTGGTCTCTGCCCTTGATGAGATCCATTGCAAAACAACTTGGCAAGTTCTACAAAGTTCTATAGAAGCCCAGAGATTAATAATTTATATTTTATTCTCCATTGCCAAAGAAGTAATTAAGAATAGAATAAAATCAGGAATACCTATATTTCAGGTTCTTACCAAAGTCTGCCACCCAACTTTTATGTTTAAAAAGTTGTGAAAAGATATGAAATATTTGAATGCTTTTCTAAAGAAGATTTGGTTAATCTACACTTCAATGATTTATTTTCAGAGCAATCCAAATTATTAGAAAGGTAAATATGAGGGTGGCATTGTTTAGACATCCTGCAAACAAAATTGCCTTTACTATGCTTTGACATTACACTTTCAGCTTAAACACAAATATTCTACATAAAACAACCCTTAGCTTTCACAACCTGCTCTGTTATAGGGTTGTTAGCTAAAGACCTGCCCAACACATCACTTACTGTTTTTTATATGATATCCCTCCAAAACACCAATTTCATGAACTCTCACATCTCTCTTCTTCACTTAAGTCATCCCAAGGTAAGTGGTGTGTTCTCTTCTTATATAAAATGTATATCATGTAACTGATCACATTTGCCTTTTCTTTTGGTTTTCAGGGATGTCAGAGTCAAATTAAAAGCTACAAATGAGTAACTATATAAGACTTTAAGGCCTTTATATTTGTTTTTTTCTCTATTGCCTTGACTGCTGTAATTTTATTTTCTCAGGTATTAATATATTATTTTCTTTTAATTATCTTTTTAAATATATGTCATCATGTAAATATCATTAAAATCATAAATGGAGTAAATAAATAAAAAATAAGTAAATGAATACATTCATTTCTTTACTTCTTAGTCTCAAATTTTGACTACTGAGTGTGTATGTATAGCTGTTTTATCAATTTGTGTTTAACAAGATACTAAAACAAAAAAAATGATCATCTAGTTAGCTGTGAAGATAAAAATCCAATTTATTATGACTAAATAATAAATGTTAAGCTACCAGAAGAAGAGTTCAATTTATATAACCATAGATCAGCTTTATTTCTAAACACTTTGCTTCCTTGTTTCTAATTCTGTACACTATAAATAATTTCCCTTTTATGATGAAGATTTTTTGTTATGTCAGAGAGTAAAAATGTTAATTATCTACCTTGTTAGAAGACATGGTAACTATAGACATTTAAAGAACATGACAGCTCTGCTCTAATGAATATACTCTAGAATGGGGGTGTCACAAAGGAACTGAAAACAAGAATTTCCTCTAATGTGTCAGCTAAAGATTCTTTCAAAGGAAAATTTTGCTGGCTCTGAAATCTTGCCATCTTGGCTCCAGTTGACTCTTCGCTCTCAAGTTTTCTAGAGTGGGGTCATCTCTTAAACTTATTAGACCAACATGTTACCTTCAGCTTTTCGTGGAAATCTATAGCTTGTCTCGCTGAAGTTTGATTATTCTTTCTGAGCTAAAATGTTTTAATGTAGCTGTGCCTTTTTATTTGAAATGTGCTATTTACTCAAAAATTGGATATTACAACTTTCCAATGCAAAACTTTAACCAATGATTAGAGACAAATATGTATTGTTTTTGTTATAAACATTTAAAAATTTTATTCAATGCTTATTTGGCTTTAGATGGTATTTCTAAAACTCACCTGTTTATTTTTTGAAAAATACATTCTTACCTATTTTGAGTGTCATTTGTAGCTAGCTACCCATACTCTTTTTTCCTACATATGAGTAAGTGGTTTTAATCTTTTTGGAGGATTAAAAATGATTTTGAAATTCCAATAAGAAATATGTGTCCCCTACCTAAAAATGCATATGTGCATATAATTTTGCCTACAACTCAGGGCATTGGAAGTCCATTTTTATAATCCCACAGTAATGGAAGGTGTGATTTCAAAATTTCTGCTATAAATGAATGATCCATGGTCTCATTCTCAGTTTTGCAGCTAAATATTGACTGGCTTAACGTCCTGTTTTGTTTTTGTTTTTGTTTTGCCACCCCATTAGTTTTCTATTTTTTTCCCTTGGATTTCCTTGGAGATAAGATGGAGTCATTTTATCACCTGATCTCTAGAAAGTAGCCAATGCTGAATATACTGAAATAGGAGTAGAGAGTACAGTAATAGGAGGATTAGATTTGATTAGAAAATGCCTGTGTGAAATTTTTGTCCACAGTGAAGAAATTACATAAGTGGACTCATATCTGATTTGAGTGTGATGACACTTTAGTGTAGATAATGTCCTAATGCTGGCCTATTGGATGAGTCCCATTGAAAATGAGATGTTATGTTTTGCTGGTAAACTTCCCTGAAAAGAAAAATTGTAAATTAAATGTTTCAATTCAGAGTCATCTATAAAGTTTTGTTTAATTGGTTTTAATTTTACTGCTCCTAAACCTTAAATGAATTAATTTAAAGTATATTTCAAGACTTCTACTATATTTAGTGTTCAATCTAATGAGTATGATAGGGTACCTTGGGCACAATGTCCACAAATGTGTGAGCCATAACTACAGTATAATATATTTATTTGGCTGAAGTTGTTTTGCTGGGTTAAAGAAACAGAGAAACAAAAGCAGTTTATTCTGCTATGGTCTATGTTTCTGTAACATGAACCAGTTATTGGCAAATAGGGATGTCAATAAAATGTGGAAATCAGTTGGCGTATACATGATTTTCTCCAGTATATTAGTGTTTTGTCTACCAAATAAAAGAAGCTTACCTCTAAGTCC